AGTGCTCCCCACCCTTCCTAAAGACATATAGCACCCAGGCCACTAATGTTATTTTGATACTTAAATGTCTCCTAAGTGTCTTGCCCCCTTCCTGGCAGCAAAAACACCATCATCAATAAATAACCATTTGCTGCCTTTTTAAAAAAACACCCCAAATGCCTCACTGTGCCTAACAGAAGAGCCGGCCCTGCAGGCAACACTCAATGGACTGACAATAAATACTGTTGCCAAAAATAAAAAGAGGAACCACATCAAGCTTGCAGATATTGGGTTTCAGGTGGCTACAGCTTTCAGAATATAACACAGCCAGTATGGACAGAAATCCCTAAACCATGACTAGGGGAATTTGTTCCTTGTTATCTTTCGGTTTTATTGATAACCCTATTGTTTTTTAAAAAAATATTTATTCTTATTCTTATTCTTATTCTTATTCGTATTCTTTTCATGTAACACGATGTTTGACAAGCACAAATCAAATGTAGATAGAGTGAAAAACTAATAAAATGTTTTTTTAAAAAGAAAAGCTGTATTCTTTCAGGCAAAACAAGACAAGGTGTAGATTGTGCTACTGATAATGAACTGAACTGTTAATATATTAGAGTAAAGCTGGAAAAGAATACTAAAATAACTTTAGTGCCAAAATATAATTCAAACAACATTCCTGAAGAACTTAAAGTCCGCACAAAGAATAGATTTGCATTGTTTAACTCAACCATGAACCAGAAGAACTATGGATTGAAACCAGGGATATTATTAAGGAAGAATGCAAAAAGACAATTCTTGTAATAAAAAGAAAGAAAAAACCTAGATAAATGACAGAAGGAATATTAAAATGGTAAAGGACAGACAAGAAGCAAAAGCAAAAGATGGCAAAAATAGGGTCAGAACCCTGAAGGTTGTTTTTCAGCAACTGCCATGCAGAGACAAAGAAAACTGTTACAACAACCGCACCAAAGAGTTTCAGAAATAAATTGGTCTATGCTTAATAGACTACAGCAAAGCCTTTGACTCTGTAGATCACAAGAAACTATGGGTTGTTCTGAAAGAAATGGGTGTGCCTCAGCAATTGATTGTTCTGATGCATAACTTGTATGGTGGATGAGAAGCTACCATCAAGACAGGATACGGAGAGACGTAATGGTTTCCTATAGGCAAAGGGTGCATTTTATCCCTTTATATGTTCAATCTGTATACAGAATATATATATGGAAAACCAGACTAGATTTAAATGATCAAGGAGTGAAAACTGGTGGAAGAAAAATCAATAATTTAAGATATGCAGATGACACCATCTTACTGGCAGACAACAGCAATGACTTGAAACAAATTTAGTGAATGTAGAAGAAAAAAGTGCCAAAGCAGGACAGCAGTTGAATATTAAGACCAAAATCATGACTACAGAAGAACTATACAACATTAACACTGATAATGAAGAAGCTGTAATGGAGATGTTGTATACTTTGACATCTAAATGGAAACTAGAGCCAAGAAATCAGAAGACTGAGACTCAGAAGGGGAGCAATGAAGGAACTAGAAAAGATCATCAAATGTAAGGATGTGTCACTGGAGATGAAGACCAAAATCACCCACTCGCTTGTATTTCTAATCACCAGAAAGTGGAAACTGTGTAAAAAAGCTGATGGGGGGATTATTCATTTGAAATGTGGTGCTGGAGGAAAGCTCTGTGGGTACCCCGGACTGTCAGAAAGAACAACAAGTGGGTCCTAGATCAAATCAAGCCTGAACTTTATCTGGCGGCCAAAACGCTGAAGCTGAGGCTGTTTGGGCACACCATAAGGCAGGATTCCCTGGAAAAGACAATAATGCTGGGAAAAGTTGAAGACAGTAGGAAAAGAGGAAGACCAAATCTGAGAATGAATTAACGCCCCTAAAGGAAACCACAGGTAAACTGGCAGCACATAACAACAGTTCTTCCATCTTAGTCCCTCCAGCACTGTTTCCATTTCTTGGTACAGAACAGAGAAATGCCAGGCTGTCTTTATTTTGTCAACACTAAAGATAATTTTAGACCGGACTACATTTTAACCTGGTGAATTCATCTGTTTCATTTGCATACGGTTAAAAATAATACTTCTTCCTCTTTGCAAAACAACCTATACTGGCTTGAAACTAACAAGAACAGACACGTTGAATCAATCAGATTTACACGAGGGTTGACTCACCATACCTAATTTAGCCGTGCTAGCGGTGCAAACCTGCAGTGTTTAAAAAAAGGGGGGATTTCATGCCATCTAGAGAGATAGATTCGAATCTCTGCAGGTTTGTTCCTGCAACATGAGGCAAAACTAACCACAGGAGTTTCTCTTGAGTTGATCCATCATCTAAAATCATCTCCAGCCTTGATTACACAGAAAGTGCCTCAGATTTGTACCCTCTTCCTGTAGACAGGGCTGTGGGGCCTTGCTTGGCAGAGAGAGTGAGTCTTATTTTCAAAATGGAAGCTCAAAATGTAATGCTTTTTCTGGCTCTCTGGTTCTCCATCAAAACCAAGGGCCATTCAGGGTGAAATCTAACCCCTGATAAACCTCCCTGAAGGGTCTCTGCTTTATTAGAGCAGTGTAGTAAATGCAGCCGACACTGTTCTAACTTGGAGCCTTCCCCCCTCTATCATTGGTAACCACCTGCCTGAGAAGTCTTTTTCCTTTCAAAAGTTTGCACAGGGATTTTTCTTCTTCTTCTTTTTTTAAAGTCAGACCAATAAAATGATCAGAACGACACAGTTCTGGGTTAGACTCTGTGGTACGTACAGTGGTGCCCCGCTAGACGCTTACCCTGCATGACGTCAACATCGCTTAATGATGACTTTTTTGCGATCGCTATTGCGATCACAAAATGATGGCTCCAATAGTTTTTTTCGCTTGACATCGATTAGGAGCCTACTTCGCGAACCGTTTGTTTGCTAACCGACGATTTTTCTGGCTCCGCAAAATGGCTTCCCTTTGAAAATGGCTTCCCTCCCTTTGCAAGACCGCTTGTTTGCTAAACGATGATTTTTCTGGCTCCGCAAAATGGCTTCCCTCCCTTTGCAAAATGGCTGTTTTCCGGACCCCTGCTTCGGAAGACAGCGATTTTAAACAGCTGATCGGCGGTTTTCTAAGGGTGATCTTCACTGGACGATGAGGTATTTCCCCCATTGGAATGCATTGACCGGTGTTCAATGCATTCCAGTAATTTTTTTTTAACGACGACGATTTCGCTTAACAGCGATTTTCCTGGAACGGATAATCGTAGTCAAGCGGGTCACCACTGTATGTATAATCTACGTAAGAAATACAAGTGAGCTGCTGCAACAAAATGTTGGAGCGTGAAGCGCTTCAACTCCATTCACACACACACCAACTCCTCTTCCTCCCAGTGTAGTCTGTTTCTTGTGTTCACATAGGCTGTTCGGGGAAGAGGTTTTCCACCTCTCAGACGCCAGTTCCAGCTATCTTTAATTCCTTTGATTGCTGTATGGAAAATTATGGACATCAACTATCAGTCTCACTTTCCTGGGATTGTAAACCATCTTATCAGTGTGTGAACCAGGAAATGACCAACCAAGTTATTCACGATGGGCTCTTTTAGAACAGTTTCTATCTCTGTGCCTCATCTTCTTGATGTCTTCTGCTTCTGTTAGGTCCCTACCATTTTTGTCCTTTATCATGTCCAGCTTTGCACAAAATGTTCCTTTAATATCTCCAATTTTCTTGAAGAGATCTATGGTTTTTCCCTTTCTATTCTTTTCATATATTTCTTTGCACTGTTCATTTAAGAAGGCCCTCTCGTCTCTCCTTGCTATTCTTTGGAAGTCTGCATGCCATTTTCTGTAACTTTCCCTATCTCCCTTGCACGTTGTTTCCCTTCTCCTCTCTGCTATTTCTAAGGCCTCGTTGGACAGCCACTTTGCTTTCTTGCATTTCCTTTTCTTTGGGATGGTTTTTGTTGCTGCCTCCTGTACAATGTTACGAGCCTCCATTCAGGCACTCTGTCCACCAAATCTAGTTCCTTAAATCTGTTTTTCACTTCCACTGTATATTCATAAGGGATTTAGTTTAGATTACGTATATCTGACTAGCCCATTGGTTTTGCCTACTTTCTTCAGTTTAAGCTTGAGTTTTGCTCTGAAGAGCTGATGATCGGAGTCACAATCAGCTCCAGGTCTTGTTTTTGCTGACTATATAGAGCTTCTCCATCTTTGGCTGCAGAGAATACTGTATAATCAATCTGATTTCGGTACTGCCCATCTGGTGATGTCCATGTGTAGAGTCGCCTCTTGTGTTGTCCAGCTCTGAGCACCACAGATTCCTATCAGCATGAACCTTAGCGAGTCCCTCCCCCTCATATTCCTCTTCTCTTACGGCCTTTACCAGCAGCATTTGTTTGTTTGTTTGTTTGTTTGTTTATTCATTCATTCATTCATTCATTCATTCATTCATTCATTCATTCATTCATTACATTTATAGTCCACCCATTTAGTCATACAGACTATTCTGGGCGGGTAACAACGTATCATATAACAAATACAGTTGCTATTTCTTTGCAGTGTTCATTTAAGAGAGTGGAGGGGATGGCATTCCAGTCGAACTATTTAAAATCTTAAAAAGATGAGGCTGTTAAGGTGCTACAC